TGTAGAGAGTATTTGCTCTCTCTCTCTCGCTCTCTCTCTTTCAGAAAGCAACTGTTAACTCACTGAAGGAAAAATTAAAAGGGGGAATAAGCAGCAATTGTACTGCTCTGTTGACTATCGGCAGAATTCAATTCGATCCAGCTCACATTCCATCCTGTACCAGGTACAACAAACACCCTGTGGAATTTAACGCTCCACAGATACTGTTGTTATCTGCTCACAGACTGAGGGCAGCGCTCAGACTGAGTGGTGTGGTAAGCCATTTCAGTGACAGAAACAAAAGTGCATTATATCTCGAGCCAAAACAATTCATGATGGGGAGGTATTTTTATTCGGATGCATTGTGTGTCATTTCTGTTGGATCTCTGCTTTAATTAGCTGGCTCACTGCGTCAGTAACAGACAGCCACAGCGTGAGGAGACAGGTGGGGAGGTGAGGTGAAGTCTGGGGCAGTTTTTACTATTCCTGCTGATATTAACACAGTTGATTCTAAAATCCTGTTTTTGGATTTATTGTTTTAATCCTCACTGTAAACCAGAGGAATGTGAAAGTGAAATCCACACTGGATGATTTTATCACTTTAGAGGTAAATTAACAGATTTTTTTAGTGTCTCTTCAAGGTGACTGTGTAATATTGCAGACTGAAATCAGGTGGCGGTCTCAAGTGTGTCATGAAACACACTTTTCCTTCTGCGAGATCACTTACAATTCCTGAGAGAAATGATGTGTGACATTTTAAGAGCCTTGTGCTAAACCTATCTGTGAGGTCCTTTATGCAAAAGGTGATAATGCTACTATAGCTCTGATCCCGACTTGGTAGTTTAAATGTAATCTGCTCTATTTTCTCTTGTTTTGACCATTCACATCCCACTCCTCACTCACTGATGTCTGTCATCTTCTCTCTGCAAAGCCCGGAAGAAGCCTGGATTACCCCGGAGGCCGGGTTACAGTGAGTGAAGGCACCACCACCAAAGCCTGCTGCCAGTTTAGATGGATTACAGATTATTTCAATGTAATCTCTGCTCATTGTTTAAAGCAGGATTAGGGTCAGACAACATGCCTCACAACAAATCAGGGAGAGTCGCAGATTAAAATGTGTTTATATTTCAGGTCAATAAGAAAGAAAATCATATTAAATCAACACGCTTTAGATGATCTTTGAACGTTTCCTCTAGATTTGCCGGGGCTTTTTTTTCTAACCACCACTTTAGTTTGGATCTCAATCACTTAATCAGTGTTAAGTCAGCAAATGGGAGTTTTAAGGAAAATCCATCCCCGACCACTTTCCCCATCTTAGCTTGCTGTCCTTTTTACATTGATCAGCAACTTTTAACGCTCTTATCTCATTAATTTAATAAAAAGGACTCTGGTCCACTTTGGATGATGAAACAAATGGCTTTGCCAAGTAGCCCCCCGTAGCCACCACTCTCACTGTAATTAAAGTATGGGCTACGTGAACACAGCAAAAGACCACTTCAATGCTGATGCATTGATTGAAGGACAGGTCGTCTGTAAAACATGATAACTCTGCGTATGGCAGTCTTTCAATAATTAAATTTTCAGACTGATTTTATACTGATGACTAAGGAATTGCCACTTAATTATTCAAACGCTGCCCTCCCACCAACATACAGATGGCAGTTCATCACCATGTAAATGACTTTATATCCTGAAGGCCAGTCAAATCCCACAAAATCTAATGTCAAGCAGCACTTAAGCACGCTGCGCTGCAATTAACCAGCTGCAGAATTACAGAGGTATTACAAGAAATTCACATTTCCACTTCTATTATTCTGAGTCTTATTTGCATCAGCTTTTAGCAGCTGGAGTCGTCCACTAAAAGCCTTCATGTGCTACAGAGTGTGACATCTATTACTCTCGTGTTTTACACTGATGGAACGGGGAAATTCTACAGTGTCAGATGTCTGGAAATTAAGGGATAATTTCAGTTTATAACAACTCAGTCTTATTTTTGGCATTTTTGGACATCTTCCTGTTGGTTATGACTGTACATCACAACATTGTACATCACCAAGACAACTGCTGACATCTGGAAATGTGGGGATGGACAGAGCAAGAAACATGAGCTGTCAGAAAAGTGTCAACTGTGTTTCCTAAACATCCATCACAGTCCACACATACTGACCAACTTTCTGGCTCTTACTGTAGGATACTTGTGCACACAGTTTCCTGCACAATGAGGAATTATTAGTGACATTTCCAGCTCCCTCCCTTTTGTTTTTACCTCCAAACAAAAGACTGAGATAATCTGTTGACTTGTTTACTACCTGTCGGAAAAAAAAAAAAAACTTATCCTGAATTAATATTTGTTACTGAAGCTCTGTGTTCATGTACACTCACCACTAAACACTTGAATCAGTCGGAAGATAAACATTATGAAAGTCTTCTTCAGTCTAAATAGTCTAAAGTCCTTCCAGTGGGCCCTGCAGGCTGCGCTGCTGCTGCTCACACTCCATGTGACCACAGTGATTGGAGTACGACTGAGCGACAGTGACATCCTCACAGACCAGCTCTCGCTGAGGGTGAAGAAAGGACAGAGCGAAGACGCTGATTAAAGCTTTAACTATAGGTGAATTCAAAAATGACAGATTGATTATTTTGCAGGATGTGATTCCAGCTGATCGAGGCAGATATGATTCTTGTTGGGACCATTAACGGTATTTTTCCTCTGTTTATCTGCCTCCTTGTAACAGTCTACTGTACAAACTGTACCTTCCACTATCTGTCAGCCACTGAGTTTGACACCCATATCCTTTTTCTTATTTTTTTGGACATTTTCTTTTACTAAAATACAGAAGGAAAGAGATGATGCATGACAGACAACATCCACATTCCTACATGAGCAGCAGGATGTTGGTGCAGGTGCAACTCCTGGTGAGAAATGAACTGGTGATGGGGCACAGAAGAAATCATTATCTTTTGCTGAAAAAGTAAAAGGTAGAACCGACATCTTGGCAAGCGCACACAGTTGGCTGAAGCTTCTCCACTGAGTGCCATCTAATTATAGTTTTGTTGAGCAACCTGAGGCTTGAACAGGGGGAATAAGTCTCCAGATCATCATTCGATCCAAACAACACAACAGCAGCCACTAATGACAGTGCGTTACCTTCAAATCTTCACATCAGATGGGTAAAGAAGATGCTTTTTTTATATATATGTCAAAGTCAAAAGAACACATGATGTTTGATTCTCAGAAATATCTACACAAACAGGTAATTTAAGATTATTCTAAAGCATAAACAGTGAAATGGCTGAAATGCAGCCTGTAGTGCAAGCCCATGATTGGCTGAGTAGAGCAGCCTGGAAATGCTGAATTGTTCATTACTATGGTGACAGGCCTCATATTTAAGCTACACTCACCACAGGAGCCTCAAACTGCCTGATGTTTATGAACAGTACCAGAGATGAATCAGCTGCAGCAGAGACTCAGCTATGGCCTCATTTCTATACATTAATCACAGCACAGTATAATAATGAATTTTGATAATATTATAATACTGCCTGTACGTGCCTTTTACATGGTAAAGATGCTACATAATTGGTCAGGCTTTGAAGGGTGTGATGAATTAAGCCAGATTTCTCTCTTCTGTATAGAAAATGGTTCGAACTGGACTGAAGGGCCAATTATCCTGATGAGCATTAAAACTTTGTGCGAGTCTGAACAGCGTGAAGGTGAGGAGGATCACTGGAGTATGGAGTAGGATTGATTTTGATTTAATTATTCATTCAGAGCAACAACCTCTTGTCTTGGCCTCAGCTCTTCATAGGTTCATGAATCCATCACTGACATGAGATGCAAGTGAATTTCCTCACTTCTCCTGTGTGTAATGTCTAATTTATGAGACTCCAGCTTCACTGTGGAAGCAGTACACAAGAGGGTAGAGAAGAAGTCAGCGTCGTGTGTCACACTGTACAAAAAGACATTGCATGTCTGCAATAAAAGATTCATAACGACAGAAGAGGCCGCCGTGTTCATGGCAGTTTAGATGTCGGGTGATCAAGAGGTAATATCTCCACCCTCTACAGTTATCACAGCAATTTATGTCATTTTATTTCATATTAGTGAAGAACGTCTCAACACTGTGGGGAGATGGTGTGATGGACGTCATCCACCGCAGGCAGATCAACATGTAGAGCAGGACGCAGAGTTACAGTACATATTTTATGCTTTCAGTCAGTCCAGCTCCTTGGGGGTGAACAAACTCATGATGAGGTCTTCCTGGAGCCTGTGCTCCCTCGTGCACACTGTGCTTTATTTCTGTGGGTTAGCAGCAAGCCTTGAATAATTCAGTGACTATAGGATGTGCTCTTTGCCAGTGACTGTCTTTCAGAGAAGATTCTTTGCTTTTTTCTAATCTCCACTCTGACATTATCAGAGTCTCATCACCTCTCTCTGGTCCAAGTACCAGCTGTAGTGGCTCAGCCTCATCAAGTGATGCGTAGACCAGCCTTGTAGGTCAATACTGCCTCTGCTTCATCCAGCATGTGCTCATGCTGGATTGAGCTTTAGTTTGAAATGTCAAAGTTAAATCATGTTAAGACACATTTACCAGCACATATGTTTTCAATAGTCTTGTGGACTGGTTCTCACATTTTGAGATTTTGTAATAATAATCATTATTGTTATATTAATATATTATAATTACACAGGCATTTTAAATCCGGAACGCTCGGTTGTTCTGTGAAACGCAGAGATGTGGGGATCCTGCTAATCCCCAAAGATCACTTAAACACAACCACACTTCATTCTTTACTCTCATCGTTTGGTCAAACACACAATTATATACATGCGTGGAAAAATGAGCTATTAAGAGTTCAGTGCGTGTTGTCGCTCAAAGCGCGAATTAAGCGTCGCCAAATATCTCCAGTTCCTCCTGCTGCTTCTGCTCTGAGAACTTTTGGCTTAAATCAGTTGCCGTGATGCTGAGGAATAACTCTCAGCAGAAAAAAGGGTTTTTTCAGCCTAAAGAAGCACCTACCTCACTCATGGCTCCGCTGCGAGTGTCTGTGTGTGGATCCCAGGTATCAGTGGCGCGCTCCGGTCAGCTGCCTGAAGGTACAGTCCTCTCTAAGACGCTCCGCTCACACGCACAGGCTGCTTTTATAGCACGGACAGCCCCACGCTCCCCACCGCGGGTCTCCTCGTCCCCAGCTCTATACGCTGAATACCCGCCTTTGAATAATCCGCCTCGCGTCTGTCAGTGGGGGTGATGAAACTATAAGCAAAATAATGAAATACATCCTCCCTTTGAATAAGGAAGAAATTAATCTGAACAAATTGACCAGTTAGTGTGGAATATATTGATCACAATCTGCACCACAAACACTGAATATCTGTGGAGCATTTGGCTTCATCTCATATAGCTACAGTACAAATGAGTCACAGGGTCTGTTGCTGTTTCTCACTGGATCTGAACATCAGTGTCTATACACACTAATCATGCATATTGCATTATTGTAGACTCAGTGGACATATTTAGGATTTTGTGACAGAGTTCAACAGGAAATTGATCCACATATGAAACACAAAATGACTGATTGGATTCACCCTCTTTACTGTCCTTTAAATCACGTCCGTTGGGATGATAGGCTACATGAATATGTAGTAAATCATTTCCTCTTGATTCTGCCTCATAAAGACAAAGCAACATTCCAAACAAATCGTTTTGTTTTTTTTACAATATTGAGTAGTACTTTGAGCAGTATTTTGAAGTGGCTGAGGTATAGAACATTTTAACCACTTATTAGACAGTTTGTTAGTTTGACCAATAAAAATGTGTCATATTTTATAAAGTGATCATATATTTTCTTGTAAAATCTTAGAGCCTCTGCACACCCGCATTCACACAGGCGTCTGCACTCATGTTACTCTAGGACTCTTCACCTCCATGAGTGTGCAGAGGCTTCAGTTTTGAAAGTGACAACTAACTACAGCTGACAAAATTAAATGTAGTGCAGAAAATGTATATTATTCCCCTGAAATGTAAAGAAATAACTGGGCAAAATTGAAGTACCTAGTAAAGTTTTTACTGAAGTACAGTACTTGCATAAATGTACTTAGTTATTTTCCACCACTGAGCACAGAAAATGTCTGAGGCCCTGAATAACAGTCAGGTCAAAAAACTTGAAACCTCCCAGTGCAGTCTGTCCACAGTGTGCATGAGTGACGGACGCTACTGAGGCCTGTGATCCCTCTGTAGGAGCTGCAGCATTACATGGCTGCAAGAGATTTGGAGATGGTGTGCATAAAACTGTTGCCTTGGTGATGGGAGTGTTGTAGCTTTACAGCTACTGCTATAACTAACATGCCATCCAAGCAGGTGCTATTCAGAGGGCTCCACATCAGCACATCAGCAGGCTTACACCATCCCCAGCATGAAGCCCTTTCCCAGCAGTGTGTCTGGTGGTGATGATGAAGCCTGATGGTCGCAGTGTGATGCTCGGCTGCAGCGGGAAGCTGGAACACTATTGTAGGCAGAGGGGAAATTAAAACTGCAGAGAACTGCGACTTTCTATCAGATTTATTTTCCAGTGTGACCAGGACCTCAAGCAAAAAGCCAAAACAAGAACAGTTACAAAGCCTTTGTTGTTTGAACAGATTAACAAAGAGAAACTAAGTAAGACTGCGGTGTAACGACGCGCAGCACTGACTCAGACCTTACACAGACTGGCTGTGAGGTGCCTCTGACCATTGACTTGAATGAATGAACAGGTTACCTGTGCAATCAGTTATTTCAATTTTTTTAAAAATGTCTCTTAATATTGGACACATTTGAAGACATTTGTCTGTCATTTTAACAGTAACCATAGAGCTGGTGCGATATTGTCTATTTCTATTATCAGTAAACCCAATAGAAAGATGGCTCCAGGCTCTCAGCTGTTTAGAGAATGAAAATGCTTAGCTGTTTCAGAATAAACCACATAGGCCATATGGACTGTAATGAAAGCATTTGTCACCCAGTGAAACCGTTTGGCTCCCTTATATCCTTGTGTAATCTATTAGTCCACAGTGGAGTTCTATAGCACAGAGGGATAAGCAATATCCCACCTTAAAAAAAAAGACAAAAACAAACCTAAAACTTAAAGCCTATCATTTATCTAAAGACCATAAAATGAAACTATAACCAAGAGGCATATTTGAGATTACCTCAACGTACACTGTTATATTTCTCCTTGGAAACGTCTGTCAACACTAGATGAGAGAGGACGTGTTAAGGGACAAATGGATGTGATAATAGTTTTAATTTGAGAAAATTAAGTCCATCATTTGTGAGCATCTCTACACTCAAACAAAGCTTCTCATCTGTGGATGAAACTCTGGGTGCTCCCCCCTGACTGACACAACAATTTGTAACTTCAGTTATTGCTGCTATAATTATTTAATGCCTAGTGCACAAATCATTAATGTGAGGGAAGGAGTTTGATAATTTGGTGGTTATTAATTCAAAGGTATGACATATTAATTTGTAAACATAAATCATCAAAATGTAGAAAAGACCTCCTGTGCCTTAAAGTGCAGCATCCTAAAGCAGCAACAAAGCTTTTTTGCAGGTATTTGTTTTTCCAGGTCGGGCAGCTCTCTTTAAATGCTTTTATTGATTTAGCAGAGGACACCTGTATCTTTCCACACATGTGCATGTTTGTGTTTGTGGACAGTCATTAATCAGGCTGAGTTACTCTAAATCAGTCACATTTTAATCAGAGCGCTCAGCTGCTCACAGATCCAGCAGAGCCGGCTTCCCTCAGGATCCACGTTTTGGGACTAATTGATCACCAGTCAGTCTGAGAATTGATTTATTTGGACTGTCCATGGACACAGAATCTCATCGACTACCGTGAATCAAAGATTAACTCATGAGCAATGCACAGGCAAAGTGTACGTGGGAGCTCACATTATTATTATGGAATTTAATATACAACTTATGCCCATTTATCATATTGTTATGTTTTTCACATGATAAATGTTGTTACACAGCCCCTCAGATTATTCTCTAATTACTTTTCCATTCACACGTTTAACAAGAGTCATATTCTCTGTAATAGCTCTTAACTCTTTGGCCAATGTAAACTTCATTAACGTCTCAGTGTGCTGTGTGAGTGCAGGACATGTGGTGTGCATTCAGAGCATCCTGTGTACTCAGCTCCCACTGCTAAAAAAGTGTACGATTATTTTTTGGTTTATTTTGGTTGTAAGTCTTTGAACCCACTGCTTGTCAAAAGTACACAAAGGGCTGATGTTTTGCATATTTTCTTGTAGAAAAGCGTTTTTCTATTTAAAGCTGTTCTGGGTCTTTTTGTTCAATTCTTCAAAGAAGAGAAAGGCTCCAGAATTGGCAGGATACTTTATCATAAACAGCCATTTTGTAATGTTTCCATACTTTTAACAGGTTAAAGATTCTGTTGCACTAAAAACATATACTGTATATACTGAAAATGCTTGAACGTCATACAGGATTATACTGTTTATGTTTTCCTTAATCCACTGTTCGTCTGCAGGGGGATAATGGAAGTCGAGATTTCTTTGTGACTCACACTTTATCACTTAGCAGTGTTACCTTGATATTTAAAGCAGCTATATTCCATATTTTCATTTTAAAAATGGATCAAATGACTAAATGTATGACTACTATGTGAACGATATCGCTTGTCTTGACGAACTCACAGAGTTATGACATCTAAGTCTCTAGTTCTTCTCAGCTCAGTTATTTAGTGTGTTTGAGCTCATTGTTTTGGTTTTTCCACTTGTAACTTTACTGAGACTTTAGGTTCATAGCTGTAAAAACCCATTGTATTCTACCTTGCTAAGACCAAACAGAGAAAAAGGCAGCCCTCTTATTCATTGCTACAGGACCAGTCCAGCAATGCAAAAGCTCTGGCTGAACAGCAAAAAACTGTTATTCAGCAAAAATGCTGAAACTGAAAAAAAGTTGAAGATATTGCTGTGACCAATCAAGAGGAACAGTCTCAGTAGATCATGTTGTAGAGTCAACAGCATAATTCTACTGTTTTCCTTGTGATCATGGCAATGTTGCTGTCATGCTAACTTTCCAGGTTTGTATCTTGTCTGACGTACCGTTTTGCAGTCTTTTGACATGTGATAAGTTTTCAAACTCATAGATCTGCTATTGAAACTTGAGACTAATCCTGGAGCAATCAACACCTTCTGTATTACCTTTGGTGTAGATGCCCACTAAAGAGCCAGGTGTTGGTGGAGAGCAAAAACACTGAATGTTGGACTTACATGTATATGACAGCTCTAAATGAATGCCATCTATCATGCAGTTGCCCTACGTAAACTCAAACTAAGTCCCTGCAGTCCATTAAAGGTGACAGTGACATGTTTACACTGCCACCATGTGGCCACAAAATCAGTTATTAACCCCCCCCCCCATGAAAATCAAGTGTTTCCCCTCGTGAACATCAGTGTTTTTTCTCATGCAATGCAAGACACGTCATGAGTGAAATAATCATCAACACCATGACTGAATATTTCCACCTTGAACTGCAGTGAACCAATGACATAAGGACAGATTCAGACAGCCAGGGTTTCATATGTCACAAACCTAAGGAACCAATCCTGTCAACTTGTGGGGACGGGGGGCGGGGCTAAATAAACCCAAACCCTTGTCAGTACAAAGACTGAGAGTTTGTATTAGCACAAGCTAATAAGGCCTGTTCCAGATTTTTCAATAAAGAAATAAGAGTAGATGAGCCTCCAACCCCAATTTTCACTTTTTATGTGGGAAAACCGCGTTAAACAAAATATTAATCATAGCAGAGTATTTCACATAGTTTAAAACATGTCTGAAGAGGAAATTTGTTGTGACAGGTAATACTGTGTAGCCTTTATCATAATGAGACTCACTTCAAGTCTCTTTAATGTATCTTTTGTGCCGCATGGACTGACAGTATTCAACCATGTCATGGAATAAGGATGAAGATAGTCCAGCCATTGACACTCAGATAAAATGTGTAAAATGTGTATTGTTTCTGGGAACATGCTCCTTTTGTCTTACACTCTACAGTATGCATTTAGCCTGATAACGGCACTGAAATGTTGT